GCCATAAGACTTCTCGATCAACGGAGTCAAATGCCGCCTTCAAGTCGAGAAATACAGCTATTGTCAGGCGTCTGTAAGCGTGCCTATGTTCCAGGACCTGGCGCAGTGTGAATATTTGGGCAATACACCCACAGCCGGGTCTAAAGCCTGCTTGGTTTTCTCGGGCTTGCTGTTCCCGAGCTCCACTGGTTGGAGGTTAAGTGTCTGGACAGATAAGCAACAACACAGCAATCGATAACAATGTGAGTTCAAGAAATAACATCTCTAGTCTCTTGGAACTGCGCCTCAAACTACATTTCGGAGCTGTTCGTCAAATAGGCCAACAACCTTTGTCAACCAAGTATCACACTTTGGGCCACGAATGTGTGGTTTTTTGTGAGACAAGAATACAAGACCCGTGTGGCTATTCAATTAACGGCGTCTAGCTAATGTGGTGAATCTGGAAAACTCATTCTACGAGTTTCATGGAATTCAATGGCTAGTTCTTGTGATCTTGCCGGTGTCGGTATATCACCTAGTCTCAGTGTAGAAAGTTTCCTATCTAACTTGATCCAAGGTGGTATTTATTAATACGCTACTGTATTGAATATTATAGTATAAACTTGATGAGTTAGTAACAAATGTAACTGATTTCTTCGAAACCTGGACTCACACAAACACTGACTGCTGTTCTGATGAAGCTAGGGATGTTCAGTTGGAAACTGCCTAGCCTCTTACTGAAAACCAAATACTCAAATGATATTATAGCGGCTGACTTCCTTGCACAAGTAAAAAAGTCAAAGCAAGAGGAAATATGACTCAATCACACCTCAGTAATCCCAGCCGAAAGAAAGAAAAAAATCAACACAAGTGCACCTGTTAAAGTTGCCACTCTTTATAGCAGTGTGCAAAAAACAAGTGAATATAAAAAGACTGAAATCAAAGCAAATAAAGTTTTATGAAACGAGAAACAATTTGGAAATGAAAATCAATGAAAATATTCACGATTTAGAGGATATCAGAGAGTGAATACATCTACGCCATTGCGGTCGAATTTCAGCTGTCACTGAGGGTCTGCAACCATTGATTCCTATCATCTCGAAGACCCCAAGATAGCAGTCTGCAACTTCGCGTAAGGTAAGAGTAAGGAGTTAGAGACTACATAGACTGGCGCCATCTCTTAGTCGTCTTTCAGTACAATCCAACTTTTTCTAGGACTGTATATGGAGGTAGGTGATGGCTTAAACATGTTCTGCGCACGCCAACTTACGTCAGTCGTCGAAGATTCCCAGTATTATCGACTGGCTTGCCTAGTACCCTTCGCCAAACGAAGAGATAAGGACAATCACCTACTACGTAACCACCTATTTCCAAACAGTGCTAATTTAAGAGATAAAGAGACACCGTCTGATCAACCTCAACTCAACCGTTAACGCAACTAGACCACAATCCTTTTAGTTCTCGCTGGAAGATTACCAGTTTTCAAACCACACGTTTGGAAAATGAACATCTTTCTGTGCGCAAATGGAGGGCTTAAACGAGTTCGACTCGATGATGAGGATACTAAGGCTGCTTTCCAATGAGGAACTAGTTAGATAGTTATTAGAACAAGTCACCGATCCTGAAAAATTTTGGTGCCATACACTACCTGCTGCAAAAATAGTGGTAAAGAAATCATTAACTCCCAGAAAGATTGGATCTCAACAGCTTCTTCGGAAATAATAGATGCAGACAAAAGCACCCCTGCAAGCCCATAGAACACCGAGCGAAAACAGCTCAGACGTGTGCTAACAAGCAGTCTGTTTGACTGTGAGCATTAGTGAGCAAGAAAGGCTAGAGATAGATAAGCCAGCAGTAATAGGAGAGAGCTGTCTAGATTTGTTGGAAATCAAGATGAAAAATCAAATGGTTTGTCAGACAATGGAGAAAAATGGTTCTGTGGTTCCCTCCCAAGGGAAACGAATAGACCATAAGTGGAACACTTCGACATAGTTTAACTGATTGCCAGCTACTAACCTGTCTTCTACTACCTAATTGCAACTTGAATGCAACATTTAGGTACGACCTTCAGTCCTTGGAGAAGTTAAGAGGGCTGTAAGAGACCTGAAAGGAAGAAGACCAGCAGGGCCAGATGGAGAATAAGGATCAACGTGTCAGCTAGTGCATGTAAATTAGGTGTTCCCACCTAGCTGGTCGAAATAACAATGTCCCGGTCTTTAGGAATAGAGAGAAATCATCTTCCGATAACATCAGGGGAACTACGCTGACGAACATGATTTCGAAAATTTTACATTATATATTCACTAGAGATCTGAACGAAAGACACCTTTAGCTCTATGTCGTTGAGTCTGAATTTGTGTGGACATGCCCACTGTGTGAGTAGAGTCTAGTCATCTTGTAAAGCGAGCCTACCATGATCATCTCTGATTACTTTTAACAGCTTCACACTAGTAAACAGGACTTTAGAAGACACCTGTAAAGACAAGCCACTGCGGTTAGAAACAGGAGAAACCCTAATCCCCGACATTGGGGATTTTAAGAAAGCGTTTCATTTACCATCCACCTAAGCGTGTTCATGAGGCAGTTGCAGTTCAAATGGTTATTGACGGAATAGGAGAATCTTTCGCTTAACTGGATTCCATGTCGAAAATCCATGGGTCACTACTTCTCGTGGTTGATAACCTGTGTACAAGTAAAGAGAGCAAAAAGTGGTGGTTAAAATGTGAAAATCCAATTACTTCTGGGCACATACTAGCCACATGTCACATGAGAATCCAACCGGCATTTAAAGGATTCAGACGAGGTGACAGCGACCACATCTGCAGGAAGAACATTCCAGGGTTTAACAACTCCCAGTGAACAGGAGTTGTGCGTGATATCTAACCAGTTATGTTCCAGGCTCAGTTTCTGTGTCCGTCCACTAATATCAGTGATACAACTTAGATTCAATAAGTGACGGAGTGAGTGGCCAGGGGCACTCAGGATGTTCAATCATTATTATAAAGTCTCTTCTTAGCCTTTCATACCACAGAAGATACAGACCAAGGGCAACCAGTCCTTCTTCGTATAGTATATTTTAGGCTTAAGTCCTTGAATAAGTTTGGTCGAGTGCCTCGGGATGCGTTCTAAGCCTAGTTTGTACTTCTGTAAAGAGGCGGGGAAGACACTGACCCCGAATTCTAAGTGACGCCGTGTAAAGCTACTGAGAATTTGGTGGAAACACCTACGATCGAAATGTCCGAACATTGGTCTAAGAGCTACCCATGCCAGGTTTCCACGGAATGCGTCTCTCTCGCAGTTGCCATAGGATTTCATGTCTTCAGCGACTAAAACGCCAAAGTCCTTCCCCGTCAGTGACGCTTCAAGTCCCATGCCATTCAGGCCATATATACATATATGAGACATGCATCGTGTTTTACTTGTATCACCTCGCATTTCTCAGGATTAAATGCAAGCCCGTTATTGACTCCGCAGTTTCAAAGTCGAGTTAAATCTTCCTGTAGAGAGACACTGTCTTCCTCACTTTAGATTGCTCTCCAAAGTTTCGCGTTATCGGCAAAAACGCAGATTTCGAAAGGAACCTGGTGAGGCAAACCATTTATATATATTAGAAAAAGGAGAGGTCATAGTACTGAACCTTATGGAACACCACTAGGACATCGTTTCTTCAGACATACGCAAACTCACTCGAACTCTGAATGAACCACCACGTGTATATGAAGACAACCAACTAATGAGTGGTGGTCTTATCCCAATTAATTTCAATTTATCAATGAGCCAATCGTGACGAACGTGATCAAAAACGCCCCAGCTAAGTCTACATAAATAACACCAATTCGACCTCGACGGTCAGAAATGCGAGTCTATCTACCTACTGCAATGCGTAAATTAATAATGCAGGAGTACCCTTTTTTTAAATCCGTGTTGTTGGAGCGTAAAAAACTTTACTGTTGTAAGGTGATCCCTCAGTCCATCGTAAATTAACGGTCCCATTACTTTGGAGAGTATGCATAAAAGCGTCACAGGTGTCGATTTCTTAGATTGCTTTGCTGACCCATTCATTATTGGCGTTATTCGCCAGAACCACTGAGGATCGGGTAATTTTCGTTGACTTGGAGAATCCTTAGATAACTTACTTAAAGGTCCAGCCATGACTAATGCTTCTTCCTGCAGTACCGCCGCAGAGATTTTATCTATTCCCGGAGAGGGGTCATTTGTGAGCAGTAGAAGTAGTACTGGCTCAAAGTCCAAGTCAAGGACCCAGAGTCCTACTTTTTTAGTGGGGTATTTGTAAACTCCTAAGTAGGTAGACGATGATAAAAAGAATTGTAAATACTGATCGGCCAGGAGCTCAACTGCTTCAGTGTCGCTACTGCTTAGTCCCTTGGTTCCTAGTAGTTGAGAGACACCTGTTTTAACCTGCCGGAACGATGTAGCGTAGGTGAACAGACTTCTGGAGTTAGAAAGAAACATGTTTGTAGGCCTAAACTGATGCCGTTGCCTATCAGCTGTCATTTCCTTCTTGTTTGTTTGAATAGTCTGAGTATTTTCAGTGCCAATCCCTTTGTGTTCAGCCCAGTGGTGTTTTCTTAACCTAAGTTGTCTGAAATTCATGCTACCAGATACTTTACGAAGAAATTGCTGTGTATCACATCTATCCTACCCTAGCCACTGGTAATGCTAGTTTGTCAGTGTATTCCACATAGCAAGATGACCAATGAAATAAGACAGAGAATAATAAGTTTAAATGGGGATACCCAGTTAACATTTTCGTGGGGAAACTCGAGGCCATTTTTTGAACACGGGGCAAAATGCGGGGAACTGAAAGAACGAGGCAAAACAAGGAGAAACGTCGCACAACCCCTGCTTTTTGTCTTGTTTTTTCATTGCAATTTGCAACATGTCCCCGTGTTTCGCCCTGCGAAAATGTTGACTGGGTATTAACCAATTGATACGCGAATCGCTTCTCCTAAAACGAAGTTACCAGTCATTGGGCAATAAAAATTTCCTCAGACACTTACCAATCACCTCGTCTGTATCCCTATTATTTACCATTATTTCGCAATACATTAATTCCCATATCAAGACCAACAAATGGCACGAGTGCCCTTGAACTTACACACTTGAAAGACCTGCCGTCCAGCGCCTCATTTCAAAGAAACGTAAGCACCAGTGTGCAGTAATAAGGATAGTAGTCCAACTGGTCTGTTGCTGCTGGTTTCTTTACTAAGATCTAGTTTTCCATGAATACTTTCAATGGAAGAGCTGATACTACTTGTTTCAGATTCAGATTTGTTGTTTTAGGTTAGGAGGCTGAGAGCCTATATTAAGCCTTTTCAAATACAGTTGTGTACCAGTCCACCTCCCGTTCGAACAAGTCAATTGATGATGCCGACACCACCTCTTCTGGAAGTCGGTTTTGGGCGTTGATCACTCGCGCGCTTTGAAAACAGGAAGTGAATTTTTCCACGCTTTTGACATTTTTGCTTTTGTTGTGTGATCCACATCAAGAGGTTTCATATAACCCTTGACTTGGAGTACCTAAGTCAGTGTTTAAAGTTAAATCATTTTTTGAGGATTAAGATTGGTCTTTGTGTTCTCACAACTTAAGTCCCCTTGTCGGAATCTTGACCGAGTACTTTAGTTGGTACACGACAGGAGTAAATAACATGGTCAGCGATAAACATGTTTGCGGTCGTCTCAGCTGTAAAGTCCCAGTGGATGAAGGTATGCAGTGTGGTGCATGTGGACGTTGCTTCCACAAAGTTTGTACAGGATTGACACCAACCGTGTAGAAGCGTTGCAGTAAACCAGCTTCCCCTGGTTGTGTGATTTCTGCTACAAGCCATTGCCGACCCTCATCCTGGAAGTTGCTGAAAATTTATTTGTCAAAAGACAGCTATGTGGAAATGACAGCTGTCATTCCAATGTGGTATCAGATGATGACGCTGCAAGTGTAATCGTTAATATATTTGACACAGGACCTCTCAGTGGACTGATGGATGCTGGTGATGCAGTCGGTGGAAACACACCAGTCCCGAAGCCTACTCGACGCAAGAGAAGGCCAAGGGCAAATGGTACACCAACTATAATGCCTGAGGACTCACCGAAAGCCTGCATCTCTGGTAACGGCACTGAATCTGTAAAAGTGGTCAACAAATTTACATGGATTTCTCCAAGAAAGCATCCGAAGAGACTGCCGGAGGTTATCACGGAAGATACTAAGCTTATGAAATCTATTGAGAAGGTTTCAAAGGCAGTCAACACACAACTCAAGAATTCCACTCCAGCTCCCAGTTTAACCTCTGGAATGTTGAGGAGTCATCAGACAAAGATGCTTCTATACGTCACGGCCATGACGTGAAACTAGTACAGTCGACCATCAGACGTATTTCGCCTGAAAAGCCTAAAGGGGCACACATCTCTAAAGCAGTTAGGCTAGGTAAAAAACTGGACAAAAAACCTGATGAGAAGAGGATTTTAAGGGTTGTTTCAGGCAACAGGGATGGAGTGGATGTACTCTTGAGTAACGCATCCAAACTACGAAATTCGGATATCTGCATCCGATCTGGCTGGCCCCTCAAGGACCGCATAAAAAGAAGAGTAGCCGTTGCCGAACTTAAGGCTCGGTAGGCTAACGGTGAAAATGGTCTTAAAATGGTGGGTTTTCGGGTTGTGAGATCTTGGAAGCGAATGCTTCCAAGGGCTACATAGGTGAGTCGTGGAACTCTTCCAACACAATGAAAGTTATCTACACTAATGTTCGTAGTATTAGAAGCAAAATGACAGACCTCGAGACTGATCTGCGAGCTAGGTCCTGACGCAGTAGCCCTTCCTGAAACCTGGTTGATCAAGGATATAGACTTTACGCCACTCCTCACAAGGTATTACTGTGTAAGGACAGATCAAGTTGTTGGTCGCAAAGGTGACGGCATACTACTTTATGTTAGGGATGAAATCAACACACTATTAGTCACTTCCGAAGCACACGAATGTGGGACCTGTGGAGTGGTCAGTTGCGAGCTACAATCAAGTCAAAGTTTCTGTACTATCGGGGTCGTTTACCGTGGTCCATCCTGCCTTGCAAATGACTTCGTGCTAACCTATATAGGTAACTGGAGTAGATGTAACAGCTACCTAATAGTTAGGGATCTGAACGCTCCACACATAAACTGGACGGAGCTAAAAGTCTCACCACCAGGTGGTTCCTTCGAAAATGACTTACTTTTAACGGTCTTAGAACCTGCTTTAGTTCAAAACGTAACATGTGCAACACGTTACGATTTTGAACATAAGCCATCGTTATTAGATTCAGTTTCAACTTATCAATGTGAGGACATTCTGGATTGTATGGCGTGCGGACATTTCAAGTATAAGGGATTGCGCAGTCGGTAAGGATTGGACTGTCGACAAGGACTCATCAATCGAGAATGCATGGAATAGGTTTAGAACTCCACTTGAAGGGGTAACGACGCCATTTATTCCATTTTCGACCCCACGACGATCCTCACATCACCCTCCGTGGTTTAATAAAGACATTAAGAGGCCGTTAAGGTGGAGGAAACGTTTATGGGACATGTTTCTGGAAACTAGACTGGAAACATTCAAGACTGAGTACCGTAAAGTCCGTAATCTCTGGAAGACTTTGATTACACGGTCTCGAATGTCCTACGAGAAGCAGCTTGTGAGGGACTGCCAAAATTGTTCTAAAAGACCGTTCGCTTTCGTCAGAAGGGGGACTAAAAGAAAAGGCGGACTTCCCTCTCTGGCGACGGATGAGAAGTCCGATAGTCTGGAGGAATCTAATCTGTCCAAAGCTGAATGTCTATCTGATTACTTTAGTGAAGTCTACTATGTAGATCATGACGACGAAGTGCTAAATTATGGCATCAGCACTGTTCCACTGATAGATACAGTGCCCACAACAAAGGAAAGAGTCTTACAGTTGCCCATTAACCTCAAACCTGGAAAATCCCCAGGTCCCGATGAGTTACATCCCAGACTTCTATCTTCGCTAGCAGACATCATTGCTGAGCCAGTCACAGATCTTTTCAACATGTCCCTAGCTCAGACTCGCCTCCCAGAGACTGGAAAGATGCCATGATCAGCCCGGTCTTTAAGACCGGTAGTCGCCATTTGGTGTCCAACTATCGCCCTGTGAGTGTAACTAGCATAGTTGTTAAGATTTTAGAAAAAATAATTCGTGACAGGGTACTTAAAAATGTGGAATCAAGCAATCTTTTGGCACCATAGCAACATCGCTTTCGTACTGGGCACTCCTGTCTAACTAACCTCCTCATCATGAGAGAGGAATGGGTTGCAGCCCGTGATTGCAAGCTGCCAATAAATGCCGTGTTTATAGACTTCAGTAAGGCATTCGATAAATTGTTGCATGTGAAATTACTAGGAAAACTCTCCTCCTTCGGGTTTGGTGCTTCATTGCAAGCTTGGATCAGGGACCTTTTATACGATCGAAGGAAAAGAGTAAGGGTAAATGGGACACTATCTGGGTGGAAACCTGTGATGAGTGGAACAATCCTAGGTCCACTACTTTTCTTGTTATATACCAACGAATTGCGGATTATGCTCAGCTCCTCGGCACCGTTATTTGCCGACGATGCAAAGATTTGGAGAGCCATACGCAGTGATGCAGATAGGTATGCACTTCAGGCGGATTTAGATGAACTAGTATGTTGGTCCAAAGTTGGTGCTTGTAAATTAATTCTAACAAAGGTGCAATAGTGCACATAGGTCACAGCAATTGTTTCCAGTATTCCGTTGATGGTACACCACTACTCCTAGTCCTAGAAATAAAAGACTTGGGTGTTATCATTAGTCATGATTTGAAAACCTCGGCAAGCTGTAATGCAGCTGCAACAAAGGGCCTCCGTATATTACGGTCCCTCCGCAGAGCTTTCAAATTTTTTGATGAGGACATGTTTAGAATACTCTACTCTACCTACGTTAGACCCCACCTGGAGTACTGCATTCAGGCGGCCAGCCCATGCCTAAAAGAGGATGCTGACGCACTCGAGCGTGTTCGAAGGGTAGGCACGTAGCTTGTGGCAGGCCTTTCGAACCTGTCCTATGAAGAACGACTAGATCAGCTAGATTTATTCTCACTGTCTTACAGTAGGAGACGGGTGGTCTCATACTCAAACTGCCTCGAGAACCAGTACTCCGCAGAGACTGTTCGTTCTTTGCTTTTGTTCAGTTTCAGTTATAAGGATAGTAGGCCAGTTGGCCTGTGTTAATCCTTGCAGAGGATATCTCTGTGTAGGTATAGTTTCTCCTTGAACACGCTGACAGGTGCTGATACTACTTGCTGAGGTAAGGAGTTCCGGACGTTGACAACACGATGGGAGAGACGAAGATTCACGCTAAGTTGATCCGATCGCGGTTTTAGAATTTTCTTGTGATGCCGCTGGAGATAGTTGGTTCTAGCAGGGGAGAAAAAATGGGACTTACCAGTACCGAAGTCATTATTGAGAATACGAAATGCCAGTATGAGACCACCCCGTCTCCTACAGTAAGACAGTGGGAATAAATCTAGCTGATCTAGTCGTTCTTCATAGGACAGGTTCGAAAGGCCTGCCACAAGCTACGTGCCTACCCTTCGAACACGCTCGAGTGCGTCAGCATCCTCTTTTAGGCATGGGCTGGCCGCCTGAATGCAGTACTCCAGGTGGGGTCTAACGTAGGTAGAGTAGAGTATTCTAAACATGTCCTCATCAAAAAATTTGAAAGCTCTGCGGAGGGACCGTAATATACGGAGGCCCTTTGTTGCAGCTGCGTTGCAGCGTTGCGGTCTCTTACTATGTCTTTTGAGATGTTCGGCCTGTTGGCAAGGAAAAGAGGAGATAGATCAGGTCCGAAGTCATTTCTTGGAATCCTGTGTAGCCTGACCAGGTCTCTCCTCTGTCTGCAACAGGACGAAGTGAATAGGTTCAGCCCCTTAGGTCAATCTTCATAGGTGAGGCCAGTCATCGTAGGGATCATAGGGGTGGCCGCCCCCTGAACTCTTTCTAGAGGGTTTGCGTCACCCTTCAGAGAAGGATCACCCGCCTGTGTACAGTTTTCTAACTTAGACCTAGAGAGTTCTTGTTGTTTACCACTCTGTTTGACAAGTGCGGATTCACGCTAAGTTATTTCATGCGTGGTTTCTGAGCTTTCTCGTGCTGATTTTGAAGATGACCATTCCCATGGGAAGAGAATAAATAACGCATATCAATCCCAAAGTTGTCATTAGGAACTCCGAACGCCAACAGTAGTTCCCCCGAACTACGATAAGATAATAGGAACAGACTTAGTCTCTCCAAATATACTTCATAGAATACATCAGA